CTTTTTTCAATGTGTTGGCATGGCTTTGCTCATTCTGAAGGCTCTAGAAAAACATCTCCTTGACTGATTACATCCATAGAGTCAGTCGCTAAATAAGACCATAATCTGAGATTCCAGGGGGTTAAGGGCTTTTTTGATTCGGGAGGGAAGGTCGTTCCTATTTAAGCCATTACGATTCTCCTCTTGTAGTGTGGCTTTATCAGCAAGTTTTGGGTTCTCTGAAGGTACTTGTTTTGGATTCTTTGTGACTCTAAGGACCAGGGGGATACAAACACAACATAGAAGCCAATAGTCTAATCTGGTATTCTTCTTGTCACTGTTGGCATGGCTACGTTTTACAAGAAAAAAAAAATTGTTGACTTAATTCTGTACATGACCCTGTAGCCCTTTGAGGTTTCCCATTTGGGCTTTTGGCATTTTCTGAATAAAAAGGAGGGAAAAAAAAAACCCTGTGTGTGTTTGGTATCACGTTGTAGTGTTTGTGTTTGCAAAATGTCTCTCCCATTAGACAATTTCAATTTAAAATACAGATTAGCTCCGACAAACCTGACCCAAGCTGGCTTTTCCCTTTGATGGTTTCAATTTCAGGCTTATCCATCACAAATGATTGTAATACAACAGGATTTTGACAGAGCAGGGATAGAAATTTTGAATTCTTACCTGCAACTTTCAGCTCTAGGGTATAATAACAAAAAGAAAAACAACTGATAACTTTGTTATAGGATATGAAAACATTTCCTTGTTGAGTTTTCTTGCTCCCAGCCATTCAACAATCAGTTCCTTGACGAACAAATATATTCTCTAGTGCCAAATTACAAGGCTTAAAAATCCTATCATTTTTTTCCTCTTCTGCCTCAGGTACAAGGAAGTTAGGGAGTAAAGTTTAGCGATTACAAGTTCTGTTGACGAACAAATATATTCTCTAGTGCCAAATTCTGAGGCTTAAAAATCCTATCATTTTCCCCCTCTGCTTCAGGTACAAGGAAGTTGGGGAGTAAAGTTTAGTGATTACAACTTCTGTAATTATTACCTTAGATACTTATAACCATTGGGACCCCCCTTGCGGTTTCTCTCTTCTGTTTCTGTTTTTTGATGTTATTGTGTATGTGTTTTTACCTCCTTCCAGAATATCTATTTCATGCTGTGATTTTTTTAAAAAAAGATTTATTTATTTTTATTGGAAAGGCAGAGGTACAGAGAGGAAGAGAGACAGAGAGGAAGATCTTCCATCCACTTGTTCATTCCCCAAGTGACCACAACGGCTGGAGCTGAGTCAGTCCAAAGCCAGGAGCCAGGAGCAATTCTGGGTTTCCCAAGCGGGTGCAGGGTCCCAAGGCTTTGGGCCGTCCTCAACTGCCTTCCCAGGCCACAGGCAGGGAGCTGGATGGGAACGGGGCTGCCGGGATTAGAACTGGCACCTATATGGGACCCCGGGCGTGCAAGGCGAAGACTTTAACCACTGTGCTATTGCGCTGGGCCCCATACTGTGATTTTTAACACTGCTCTCACTTTTTGATCTCTTGGCAATTATTTTTTCCTTTTCCACCTCCTCTTCCCACCTTTTAATACTGATACTTCCCAAGATTGTTGTTCTCTCTGTTCAGGCAGCTCTTAGGTTTGTTGTACAACCTGAGAAGTGTAACTGCCTCGTTGGAACTGATGACTCTCAAGTCAGTGTCTCCCACTGCACCTCTTTCCTGATTTTGGTGAGGTCCATAGTGTTTGAATGCGTCCCCTGCATGTGAAGCTGTCACCTTTCCTCTTCCTCTACTGCTCCCATTCCTTGTTTTCCACTCTCCTAGCTGCTTCCTGTTCAACATGGCTGCTATGCGTTTTCTAAGATTTATGATTTTTTTGGGCCCAGTGGCGTGGCCTAGTAGCTAAAGTCTTCTCCTTGAACCCGCTGGGATCTCATATGGGCGCCGGTTCTAATCCCAGCAGCTCCACTTCCCACCCAGCTTCCTGCTTGTGGCCTGGGAAAGCAGTCGAGGACGGCCCAAAGCCTTTGAGACCCTGCACCTGTGTGGGATACCCGGAAGAAGTTCCTGGCTCCTGGCTTCGGATTGGCACAGCATTGGCCATTGCGCTCACTTGGGGAGTGAATCTTCGGATGGAAGATCTTCCTCTCTGTATATCTGATTTTCCAATAAATAAAATAAAGCTTTTTAAAAAAGATTTATGATTTTTGAAGGGTACAGAGAGAGGGAGATGTATATACATATATATGTACATATGCATATATCCGTGTGTGTGTGTGTGTGTGTGTGTGTGTGTGTGTATGAATATGGAGGCAGGGAGAGAGAGAGAGAGAGAGGAAGAAAGAGAGAAAATCTTCTGTCTGCAGGTTCACTACCCAAATGGGTACGACAGCCAGAGCTAAGCCAATCCAAAGCCAGGAGCAAGGAGCAAGGAGTTTCTTCCAGGCTTCCTATGTGGGAGCAGGACCTCAAGCACTGAATCATCCTCCGCTGCTTTCCTAGACAGATTAGCAGGGAGATGCATCAGAAGTGGAGCAGCTGGGACTCAACCTGTGACCCTTATGGTATGCTGTTGCCACAGACAGCAGCTTTACCAGCTATACCACAGTGCCAATTCTTGCCTAAGTAACTCTCACTCAGCTTTAACTCAGTTCATTCAACAAGAATGAATGGGATTCATTCAACAAGAATTTATCAAACATTAAGTATGTACCAGTGTTGGGATCCCGGTGTGGAAAAGGCAGATGGAGACTCTGTCCTCATGGAGATTGATTTTAGTGCAGTGTTCTCTGAACTACGATGTTGGGCTAAATGTCTGCTCACTGACCTTCTCTGTAACCCATGCACTCAGAACCATCACACCAGGTCTGGTAGGCTGAAGTGATATTTGCCTTATGTAAGTTTCTCAAGGATTGGGGTTATGTCGTTTTTTCCTAGGCATTCTTAGTACTGGAACAGTGTTTAGTGTTCGACAGGATCTCTGGATTGTTCTCTTGTGGAGCTCAATTAGCAGTTGTGGATAAAATTCCCCATGTCCCAATTTAAATTTCACATTTTCCCAGAAGTTGTCTGGAGTCCTCAAGGGCAGGTATGATATTCCCAGGATATACACCTATTTCATCCTCCATGTATTCCCTGAAGTTTGCACAGTTATACTCTTTTGAAATTATAAACATCATAAGTATGTGTCTCTTATCCATGCAACTATTTTCTGATAAATGGTTCCTCAGGGCATTTTGTTGTGTGATCAGCATAAAGCATATTACACAGACTTCTATGGCAAAGTCGAATGCACACCCAGACATGATATCTATGAAAGGGTGTTTCAACAGTTTGTGGAAAAATGAAATGAAAAGATAATGTACATTTCCCCTGAACTTTTTGAAGCCTCCTAGTATAGGAGGTCATCTATTGCACTATGATTATGATGAATAGGAGATTCAGTCAAACACAAGAGACAATGATGCGATTAAGAAACCCAGCACATCAGAGACTATGAGGCTGTTGTTGGTAGAACCCAGCACACCATTATATAGTAGAGTTTTATTTGGCGAGTAGAAAGAAAATGCTCTGAAATAATAATCAAAAGCACAAAGGAAAAATAATTGGAAGTCTACCCACATGGGAAAGCTGGAATGAATTCTGCATTCCTGGCTTTAGCCTGGCCCGATCCTGGTGATTTTGGGCACTTGGTGAATTAATCAGTGAATGGGATCCTGTCTCTTTGCCTGTGACATAAATAAAATGAAAAATTTGAAACAGTAAATACATTTATCAGTAACGTTGTCATTTATGATCAATATACAATGTCGTATATAGCACATGCTTGTTTGGGATCTAATTTTATATGATTGATGATATATGTTTGGTTTGTTCACACCAGCATCACCACCAACAGTGAGTAGTGTGTATTATTTCAGTATTGCTCGGTATGGCTACAGTATTGCTAAGCCACAGGAAATTTCCAGTTCCACGATAATCCTGTAAGACCACTATTGTATATGCAGTTTATTATTGACTGGAACACCACGATGCAGCGCTTTACTATATTTATTTAAAATTGATGTCTGCACTAATCTGTACATTTTATGTAGGCGAAGCCATTGCTAGCACAGTACACAGCCTATAGTAAATTAGTGAATGACTGATCAATTTTCTCATTAGATAACAAGATGACTGCATTTGGGACCAACACAAGCGTTACCAGCTGCCTCTGGCCCAGTGTTTTGCTTTATACATCTATAAAGTGGGCATGCTCCTGTGAAATAATGATAGATAACAGATTAAAACCAAATCAGGGCCTGGTGCCATGGCATATTATGTTACTCCTCCACCGACAACATCAGCAGCCCACATTAATTGGCACAGGTTTGAGTGCTAGCTGCCCCATTTCTGATCGAGCTCCCTGCTAATGTGCCTGGAAAAGCAGCCGAGAACGGCCCAAGTGCTCGGGCCCCTGCACCTACGTGGGAAGCATGGAGAAGCTCAGCTTTAGACCAGCCCAGCTCTGGCTACTGTGGCTACGTGGGAATCGAAACAACTAATGGAAAAGTGAACACAAACACGCCCTCCCCCTCTCTTTTTCCCTAACTCTGCCTTTCAAAGAATAAATATTTTTTTTAAAAAATCAAAGGACCAGTTTGTGGCGTAGTTGGTTAAGTTAATATCTGCAGTGTTGATGCAATACATGAGTGCTTGATTGAGTCCCAGGCACTCCACTTCCCATCCAGCTATTTGCTAATGTGCCTAGAAAATGAGCAAAGGAGGGCCTCCTCACCTCTCTCTGCAACTCTGCCTTTCAAATAATTAAATAAACAGTAAGTAAATAAGACAAAGAGTGTAAATGTACATAATCGTTATGAAGAAATCAAAATAAATGTACATAATCATTATTTATAAAGAAGATAGCATGAAAAACTTAAACATGTGAGCTAAAATTCCAGATGGAATTTGAAACATATGGATATGGAACTGTATTGTTTCATCAGAAATGTAACCATTTTGTTCTCTTCTTTTTCCCAGGATCTGAGATAGCAGTTCTGGATCAAAATGAGGAAAGAGTAATTGTGGATCCAAATGAAAAGGTAAAATGAAAGCAAAAACTTTAAAGTGAAGTGTGTGACATACATTTTAAAAATTGACAGTGGAGGTTTGTCGATGTAGACTAGGCAGATTAGAATATTGCTAAGTGACGATTTTATCATTTTAACTATGATAAAATAATGAAGGACTTTGTAAGCTGCTGCTGCTGGCAGACATAACATGGGTGTTACCTCTGTTTGTGCAGATGCTTTGACAGGAAACACTGAGAGAAAGCACGCATAACCCCACTGTTTGGCCCAGGATGAGTGTCATGTTAAAGAATAACATGTACTATCAATGTTCCTCTTATTTTCTGATGGTACTCTTTATTTAGTTTTAGTATTATCAAAACAATTCAGTTCTCTTTGAGTAAAAATATGAGGCAGATGGCAAGGAAAAGTGCATTATCCTCATCTTGCTTCTTCGCTGGCTCCCTCCTCTGAGGTTTGCTGTTGTCCCTTGCTGCTGTACCTGCTGCCTCTAGGCCCCTGAGTGTTGGAGAATGGGCCAGGGATGGAGGAACCGAGATGGGACGAGATGGGACGGGCCCTGCAAGATGTCTTCACGCTGCTGCCTCACAGTGGATCTTTTCAAATTTTAGATGCCAGGGCCTCTTGACATTCTAAAAGTTAAAGCTGAGTTTTTAGTAGAATCCATCAACGCATTCAGTTAAAATAAAAATAGTAAATCAATAACATGTCAACCTAATAATATCTGTTTGTAACCACTAATTACGTTTTTCAAAATAAAAAGGAATATTAGTGAGAAAAATGGCATTGCTTGATATTCCTACAAATCCCATTCATGTCTAGTCTCATAGCAGCCAGGGGAATCTGTTTTACACCATATAAGGAAGAATGATGGATGATGTCATTGCATACGTCAGAACTTCTAGGGAACTGAACTTGCATATCTTGTGAAAAAATACCAGGGAAAATAATAACCAATGTCTCATGGAAATAATTTTGATCTCATGGGCTTCCTGACCATACTTTGAGAAACATGGCAATAGGAAATTTGAAATTAAGCTTCATTTTGCCTTTAATCCTTATTTTCTCTAGGAACCTATGCCAGTCTTGAAAAGAACTGTGTAGAACTATAGAGAGCTCAAAAGATTGAGGCAGTGGGCAGGAAAAAGATTTGACAGTGGAAAACACAGTTCACAATGCATGTCCTTAATCCTGGGCCTTGCAGGAATGCCTGATGTCAAAACTTAGGCAGATGTTGACGTATGGGTAGATTCAGAGATTTGAAAAAAGAAATCTGAAAAGCAGGCTGACTTTGGTTCAGTTTTGACACATATCAGGCACAGGGTAGGGGAATTACCAGGAAGTTGCAGGTGTCTGGCAGGTGGAGGTGGGATGCAATGAGGGCGATGGGCGGTGAGTGGGTCACTCAGTCACCTTGCCTGTGTTTCTCTAGGTGAAAATGAGTCTACTGATGATCATTGCCCCTTGCGTGGGGTTTATGGTGTTGGCATTGCTTGCAGTGCTCCTTCTGCGAGGTGAGGAGGCTAGAACCTGGAGAGATGGGACCATTCAGAAGTGAGGGGGCTCTAGGCAAACCTAGGAGCAGGTTGTTTCTGTTACCTGGTCTCTTGTTCTTTCTCATGCAGAGGGAGAGGTGGCAAGCAAACTCACTCTCCATAAGGGGCTAACAGCTTTATGGATCAAACTCCTGATAGCACGCACCTTTTGGAAAAGAAAAAGGATAAGACACCTTCCTCTTGGGCACCTGTTCTAAGCCAGTCTTGATGCTATATTTTTGATGTGCTGCGAAGTCACTCTGTCCTTTTTGTTTTACTGCCATGAGTGGAAACCGCAATTATCACAGTCTCAGGGTTTGAAGAAATCTTCACTTTCTTTGGCTAACATGGCCCCAGCAAGAAAAAAACAGAAATAAACTAGCTATCAGACATTCCCTGAAAGCAAGGAGGGGACTATCTGCATGGTTTTTTGTTAAATTATCAAGCTGACTGACCTTGCAACTTAACGCCCCCCTCCAAAGTTTCATGTACTGAAAAAGGAGCCATGAGGTAGGGTCTAGTTGATTCATACTCGGTTAACACTTTTCTCTACTAGCTGGTCAGCTGTGACGACATACCATTGAAGTTCAGAAATATTTCTATAACTTCAAATGTTTACATATGTGTGTATACACACACACACATAAATATATATATATATATGTATGTATGTTTATACCCAAAATGATGGCACCTGTTGCCCTCTCATTTACAAAGCAATATGTTTCAGTCTGATAATTATTGTTTCCCTTTCCAACAACTGGAAAAACCAAAACAGGGTTTATGTTTTTCACACAAAGTATAGGCACATGACATATGCTACCATACAAAATGAAAGGAATTATTTTGCAATTATTAGCAAAAGCTGTTTGAGGGTAGTAACTTAGTAAGCTTGAGCAATGGTAGTGAAACTTGAATATTTCAACACCTAACCCACATGAAAGAAAATTTAGAACTTACTAAAAATCAAGGTTACAGTTTCAGAAAGCTATAGGTTTATGTCATTAAAAAATTTATAATCCTTGGGCCTGGCGCAGTGGCGCAAGTGGTTAAGGTCCTCGCCTTGCACGCCCGGGATCCCATATGGGCGCCGGTTCTATCCCGGCAGCCCCACTTCCCTTCCAGCTCCCTGCCTGTGGCCCGGGAAAGCAGCAGAGGACGGCCCAAAGCTTTGGGACCCTGCGCCTGCGTGGGAGACCCGGAAGAGTCTCCTGGCTTTGGACCGGCATAGCATCAGCCGTTGTGCTCACTTGGGTAGTGAATCATCGGACGGAAGATCTTCCTCTCTGTATATCCACCTTTCCAATAAAAAAATAATAAAAATAAATCTTTTTTTTAAAAAAGCTTATAATCCCAAGTGAGTACATGGATTCTAGGTAGGTCAGTGACTAAAAATGAAACAGTAAGTGCCCACAGTGTTGGAGTAACTTTGAAATTGATATGCTCTGACTGGGCCTAAAGCAGAAAGCATCTGACCTGTGCAACATAGTGGCTTTCCTTGCCAGAACCACTCCGTCATGTCTCACCTTGGGCCCATGCTTTAAAGGGAGCAGGGGCATCCCTAGTATTGCACGTGTTCTAGCACAGCAACTCTGCTCACACTATGGCCTTGTCTTTTCAGGAAAAGTCACGAAAACCAATTGTTTGCAGGAACACACAAGGTAATTCATCATGCATGACTGATTGTTGTAATGATTGTACAAGCTGTTGCAAATGATTAGCTAGCATTCAGTGGTTTAATGATTTGTGCTTGTGTGATGAAACACAGGGTTGGAGAGATATGGCATCTTAGGTGAAAAGGATGTGAGGGTTTAGCTCGCTTTGAACACTGTCTAGGTCAACAGACTGTAGAATGCAGAGGCAGGTGACAATCATAGAATTGTAGCTTGCAAAAGAAAGCGTTATGTCACTGCACTCAGTGCTTAAAATTTGTTGAACTCTGGGTGACTAGCTTTTGGAAACATTGCTTAGCTGAAGTTCATTGATAGAACTGGCAGTGTGGAAAACGAAAATATCATGCAGAATATTATCCTTAGGAGTTGGTTCTTCTACCCAATTAGACCACAGAAATAGTTGTTGTTGTTGTCTTTTATTCTTTCAAGAAAATTAAACGTTTAGATTTTATTTGTATGAGTGTCAGAAAAGATGTGTAGACAGACAAGACAGAGCTCCCACTTGCTGCTTGACTTCTCAGATGCCCACAGAGACTCAGTTTGGGCCAAGCTGAACCCAGGAGCCAAGATCTCCATTTAGCTCTCCCATGTAGATGGTAGACCCTCTAGTACTGGAGCCATGACCTTCTGCCTTGCAGGGAGCACATTAGCAGAAAGTTGGAAGCAGGGCTGGAGTAGGGCTCAGATCCAGCACTTAGCTATGATAAATGGATATCTCCATCCAGTATTTTAACAACCAAGTCGAATGCCTGCCCTGATTCCTCTTATATTTTGACTTATTTTACATTCCACAAACTTTTTTTTTTATTGTGTACCTACTGTATGCTCTGTATTGCATGGGCAGTGAACAAAATAAACCAGACAACCCCTTTGCTGCAGATAACAGGAATGTGTCCCCAGTAGATAAGGTACCTAGGTCTCAGCATGAAGCCCTGGATGCGCCCTCACTCTACAAGGGTAAGTCACAAGGCACCCCCACTAAACCCAGTGTATCCCTTTACAGTGCCCAATATTGGCTCCAGTTTATTTACCTTATGGGCTGCTGACCCCAACCATGTTGGAGAGGTCCATCCAACCTCCCACAGCATCCCCACTACAGGATGCCTGTAGCTAGAAAAAAATCTCAGGAAATGGGTTTTAGATATCTACCCTGTCCTATAGCTTTCTGAGAAAGAAATGAAAACTGTTATTGAAGGTTTTGCCTGCACTAATGAAGTCAAACATTATATATTACCAAGAAGGGAAACTGAAGCCCAACAAGATGACCTTCAGAGGATATACTTAGAGATCCTTTGGGCAAATAGATGGATTTGGTCCATGACTTTGTATTTTGCTAAGAAACTTTCATCTGATGATAACAGACCAGCAAACATTTTTTTCTCACCTGCAGCTTCCGTTTTCTTACCTATAAAGTGAGCGGCTTGGACTCAGTAGACTTTAAACTCTTTACTCTAACAGCCTCTGGTCAGTTGCACTGCAGTTTAGCAGTAAGCACTTATTTGTTTCTGGTCTCCCCCTTTTTTTTTATATCAATCTTTCTTTTTCTCTTTCCAGGATAAGCAATGCTGGAGAAACAAAAAATGGCTTCTGTGACATGCAGCAGGGAAGGGAAGACGAAGAGGGCCTTTTCACACTCTAGACTGTGGCCTTTTGTTCAACTTGAGGACAGGGCATGCACCGGAAGCCTCAGAATAAGTCTTGGAATGTTTCCATTTTTGTTTCTTAGGAAAACTTCACCTATCCCATTGCTGTCATCAACCCAACCTTCACTTTGCTTTTGCATGTGAAATGTACTTGAGAGTCACATGGTCCCTGCCCCATGCTTTCTACCGTCTCCGTGGCATTAGCATGAAGTGGTCTTTCACACTCTACCTGAATGCTTCCAGTGGTGGTGAATGCATTATTGCACCCCTTGGGAACCCCTTTAATCTCAGAGCATCACCATGCGTGTGAAACAAGCAGAATCACTTACCTGCTTGGTAGCTCCCTAGATACTGCCTGAAGACCTTCCTGCTTCTCCACGTTTCCTTGCTTCTAGAACAGTTTGTCATCCCGTCATGCCCCTGGTTGTCTTTGCCTTGTGTACCTCGGTGTCTTAAAATCTACAGGAGATGAAATGTACATGGGAATGTGCTAGAATGGAATCTCCATGCTGTTTCTTCATTTCCACAAGCAAAGACCCTGATGCAGTCGGTGGCTCTTAGACCTGATGTTTATGTGGTGGATCCATAACCACACTCAGAAAGCCTAAAGTTGTCTATTTCTTTAACTCATCTTTCGATGTTTAAGTGACAATTTGCCGTGTACTGGGAATGTCACTAACCTTAAAACAGCTTTGTGAAGTGGATCTACTTTTTCCCATTTTGGAGCTGAGCAAACAGGAGCACAAACAGGTGAAGGGCAGGGTCATTTGTTCAATTACTGACAGTACTTCCATGTCCTGACCCAGGCCCTGAGGTCCAACCCAGGTCCCCATCCAGGCCCTGTAGTTCCCAGTAAGGGCCCTGACTTATGACTTCATAACACAGCGCTGTGGCAGTGACCCAAATGAATTTTAGTTTACTCAGAGCCAGACAACCAAAGGGGATGGATGGTTCTCCAAAGCTAGCTCTTTTATGGCTCAGTCGTCCTTTGTCCTGATATTATTTACTCAAGATTCTGATTTACATTTGCAGAGGAAGCTGCAAATGGAGAAACCTGGCAGGAACCTTAATGAAGTCAGGTGGGACACATTTAAATAGGAATGTGTTGAACTAACTCACTAGGAGCTGAAGCCAGCTGTCAGCAGGCTTAATGAAAGGTTAACAGGAATCCAGCAATGGGTAGCTGGGGAGGCGCTTTGTCTCTGGAAAGAGAACAGGAAGTTGAGAAGCTGGCTCCCTGGGAGGAGGCAAGAGCAGCAGGAGGGGGCCACTTGAAACCAAGACTGGGTCTGGAAATAGTTTCATTTAGGTTTGTAAACATGTTACCATCTTCAGAAAGAGAAGGAAAAGCCACTGCTTTCCCAGCTCTCTGGGTATGAGACCACTGCAGAGGGAGGTGTTAAGGAGTGAGTGCTCATGCTGGTCTGATTGCCAGGCTCACCAGACAGCAGGTAAAGTTCACTATAATTATCATTGGAATTTGCTAATCTCCTACATGCGTTAACCATGCCACAAATGGGGAAGAGCATAGGGAAGTATTAGGGAGCACATCTTTCAACTCCTGTTTTCAGTTGGAGAAACTGAGGCTTCTATGGGAGGGGCGGGAATTGAACCAAGACATTGAGTACGCCAGTCCTTGTGTAGGGATCTAAACTGGTTCCCAGCCTTGGCTCTGTGACCATTCATACACTTGATAGATGGACTTTTTCAAAGTTCAGTCTGGGTGTGCCTGACAATTGCCGTTCCTCTTGGCATAGCCTGTTATTTCCTGTCCCTGAGGCAGCTTTGCAAACACTTCCTTGGCTCCACAGTGCACTGCTGCTTGCTCCCAGGAGTCAGAATGCAGGAATGCAGAGCCTGGCTGCTGGGCTAGGTCTTGCCTTCCCCAACTGCAGTGACCATCTTGGCCCAGTTTTCAAGTTCAGTCTTGCACGCTGGAACCTTTGTTAGTGCTGGCAAAATGAGGATAGTCCTTACACCTATGTCCATAACTAAACTACAGATGGAAGGCTACCCTCTCCCGGTCCAGTTACAGACTACTCTTCATCGTTTCTTAGGTGATGGTGTGGGGTGTTCAAACGGGATTAGCTTTTCCAGATCCAGCATCAGGATGTAAAACTGCCATGCCTGGATTGTAGACCCTTGCTGCTTAAAATGTAGGACTCAGATTTGAGGAATTATCACGTAGGAGTGAGAATGTAGAATCCAAGGCCCCACTTCAGACTGGGTCAGTCGGCATTGTGAACTCTAAGATCTCCAGGTGACTTGCTTGTGTGAGAAACTTGAGACGTTCTGTTAAGTGTTGTCCTCTTTATTTATTTTTTTCCTTTTCCTTCCAAATGGCTATAATTTGGAATTACATGGGAGAAACTTATAAAACACTAATATATAGCCTCTATGAGGTTCAGGCTGGCGTGGGGGAGACTTGCAACACAGGTTTTAGGAATTTTCGCCATTAACCCAAGATGCCAGATGCAGTGAGTCACACAGGAGGTCTTTATTCCAGGAGGCAATGTGGATGCAGAGAAGTGAGAGAAAGCAGTGCAGAGGGTGATGGCCGTGGGGAGGGAGAGAAGGCAGAGAACAGAGAAGAGAGAGGTCTCCTGCCACAGAACAGGAGGGATCTGCCAACCTGCCGGGAGAGCAGAGCAGAGAGTCAAGGGTTGGGAGAGCAGGCAACCGAGAGCACGCATGCGTGGAGTGCACCTCTCTGGCCATGGGTGGGCCTGAGGGATTGGCCAGGACCGTCAGGAACGATGCCAGAAGGTTACAGCGGGTTGGTGGGAATGGGGTTATGAGGCTACAGTGGATTTGCAGACAACAAAATTTGAACCTAAAAGGGCCCGAATCATAAGAAAACTGAGACCTAAAGAAAACAAATATTTTAAATGGCGCGGAGTCTAAAATGGCGGGGTCTTATCCATCTTCAGGGGCTGACGTTGGAGTTACTCCTCACAACAGGAGTTTGTGGAGAATTGCGGTTGATTCTGGTTTGCCATAATATTTGCAAACTACTGTTCTAAAGGGAGGGTAGTTTTGCACCAGAAGGTAATGCTGCTAATTAATCAGGATAAACCTTGACTTAAAGTTACAAATTTATGTGGGTTTAGTACTCCCACATGGTTTTGCTCGCAGAAATGATCAATAAAACTCTGAAGAAGATCTGAGGAGACAAGATAATGACCAATTACTATGGAAGAAGCCCACTAGAGTAACTAAAATCCAAGATGTAATGTTTCATATGGAAAATGATAATGAGAAAACTGAAGAGCTAGAGAAGGAATATCCGAGGGTGAGGTTGGTGCTGTCAGTCTTCGACAGACTTCAGAGGGATAGTGACAAGACGGCACCAAGATGAAAGAAACAGGGACTTAGTGAAATGGAAATTTGTATTACAGAACAGGGAACCCAACAAAAAGGCAACTGCTTACCCCATTGTGGCTAAATATAATGGGAAACCCTCATCTGAGAGTGAACTTGTTTTCTCAATAAGATTATATTCAGCTTTAGGGAAGAGAATAGACTTGCAGTTGCTTCCTATAACTTCAAGTCCAGACATGGGGCACTCTCTGTGCTGGCTCAACAGCTTCTTGAGGATGAAGGATGAGGCTGTGCGTGGCTGCAGGGTGGCTGTCACTGCCCTCACAGACCCTCACACACCAACATCCCAAGCCCTTATGTGGGTCGCAAATGAGACTTTCTCTGAAACAAGACTATCAAGAAGGGAAGTCTTTGGCAGAAGTTACAGAAGCCTTCCCCATGTCTCACTGCCCAGAACTGAGTCACATGCTATGATCTTGAAAAAAGGAAATAGAATTGCCAGGACTAATTTGTATCATTACTCATCCTCCAGCTGCCTACACTGCCGCTCAGAACTGCAGGTTCTGAATCTATCCAGCCGAAAGATAGGTAAGAGAATAGGAAGGGCATGAAGCCAGAAGGTACTTTGAACTTGAGTCTTACATTCTTGAAGACTCAAGTTTAGACTTAACTGCAAGGGAGCTCTTACGCTTACACTCAGAATTGGATGATCAGGGTCAGATATTTACTACAAATCTGGCCTCATCCCAGAGACCTGGGAGAGAGGAGAAAGAAAGCTGTGTGGCCCTACCGTCCTTCAGAGGACTCTGGCGCTGCCATCCTCCTCGCAGCCTTGTCCTGATTCTGCCTCTTATCTTGCCTCTCCACCCTGTTTATCACTTTTTTCTCTGCTCTGTTTGGTTCCCTCTCCTGCAGAGGTGAGGGGGTGTCTTATCTCCCTCCAGCAGCGCATCCTCAAAGCACTATCATTTTTTTCCCTTCCTGACTCAGGTTGCCTCTGCATCATTTTAATCTGTTCCTGTGAGCTTTGGTTTTCAATCTCTTCCCAAACTTCATCTCAGGCCCTTCTTCACGGAGATGAAAAAAAAAAAGGTCCCCAAAAAGATTATAAAAGCTGACAATGCCTTATGGCTTGGGGATCCACCTGATTCAGAGAGATACCAGGAATTTCCTTTACAATGGTGACCTGGGTGTGCTTAGTGAAGAATATTTAGTCAAAGACCTGCCATTAACTAATGCTATAACTTCTGCTCTCATTTTTATAACTATTGCTGGGAAATTTTGCTACTTGTTGACACATAGACAGAACATAGACCTTGGAGTCAAACTAATGCAGATTCTGAAGTTGCTGGTGTCCAGCTGGATGTTGGTCCAGCCAGTCCAAATCGATAGGCTTTCCAGTGTAAGATGCAGCCAGGATGGGTGAGGGGCAGCCCAGGAGGAGGCTGAGAAAGGTGGCTGATATAGCTGCACCTGCAGAATGCAGCTCCCTTCTCCACCAAGCAGTGATGTCTGCATTCATCAAGGTTGAAAGGAATCGATAGCACTCTACAGCACCATATAAGGCACATTCCCTTGTCCCTCAAACCTCACCTTTACAGCCCCCTAATAAAAACAACCCCTTACGTCCCCCAAGTGCAACTTTCCTGGCCTGCCATCTCTACTGGACCAGTGAACCTCACCTGGGAGTGCTCCCAATAAAGCTTGCTTTAAGCTGAACTTTATTCTGTGTGGATTTCTGGTTCTGGACATGAACTTGAACCTTACATCCAGTCTCAGCTTTATCATCTTTACAATATATTTATTAAACTTTTTTGTTGAAAGTTTTGTTTAAAAGGCAGA